ATAACGTTAATGTATTCTATCAACCGTCATACTCTATAACATATCCAATTGATTAGTTTTAGTTTGCCTAATCATCATGCATTGTCTACAACAATCAAAACTACCCTCCACCGGTAGCCCAAGCGATTATTTCTAAACAGACAATAAAAGCTCCAACAGATAAAATATCAATATTTTCAAAGGTGAGCGATTTATAAATCCAACTCCACTATTCAACCATATAATGAGGTAATTTCATTATTTCCAACTTAATTCCATATAACCATCATTTTCTCAAATTAATCATACAAATTAATTTATATAACCAGTTAGGGTTTTCTACCCCATTTCCCAATATTGACCCAATGGCCTATATATCAACAACCAACAACAACATCATCATTTTGAAGCCCAAAATACATATTATGAGCCCAAAATCACAAAACCCTCTTTAACACATTTTGAAACCCCAAGTCCCAAAATTACCCAACTACAACACTTTATCAAAACAACCAAAAATCTATGTCAAATATCATAAGAGTGAGTAGGAATCCCTACCTCAAATTCGGAGCCCAAGGAAAGAAGGTGAGGAAACTCGACGTGCTCCAAAACTCAATATTTTCGGATCAATGGATAGCCCTTGACGATCAACCCAACTCTTGTGAAGACCAAAGGTAGGGAAAACACTCTAGCTAGATCAATACTTAGAGAGAAGTTATAGTTTTAGAGAGAGGAGCTCTCAAATGGCGTTTTGGAAAAGTAAGAGAGAGAGAGTGTGAATGTAAAAAGTGATTTTAAAATGCCCAGCTGCCAACTGATATACGACGTTCCCGCTCGAGCGGAGAACACAATGCTCGAGCGTTAAGAACAAAAATCTGAACACGCTCGAGTGCAAGAAGGCTCGCTCGAGCGCCAAGACACAACAATAAAGCACATCCGCTCGAGCGCGAAAACCAGTCCGCTCGAGCGTAGATTTCCCCCTCCCAGAACTTACACCGAAAAGGTACTACCCGCTCGAGCGCCAACAAACCCGCTCGAGCGCCACCGCTCGAGCGTAAAGAAACCCGCTCGAGCGTAAAAATCACACCTGCAGAAGTTTTGCAGGGACACGAAAAACTGGGGGTGTGCAATCCCCGCTCGAGCGCAAGAAGACCCGCTCGAGCGGAACGCCTAAAAACTGGGCAACAAGGAATTGAAACCAAGGCCTAACCAACCTGTAACACCCTGCCCAAAACATCCTAAAACTTAATCAAGCGGAATTAAAGGACGACAACAAGATAGATACGACTACCAACTTCACGGAACCAAGTCCGGAACACAACAGAATAGTAAAGGGACAACCAGGATCGCTATATTCATTGACCCTGTATTCTGTTCTGTACCGTGATTATGATTATTTTACTTATATGATTTCTGCATTATGATTCTGTCATTTAAAATGATTTATTCAAATCAAACTATTCATTGTTTAGCTTAAATAATTATCCATGGTGATTTGTGTACCTTTATACTCTTAATAGAATATTTCTCACTCTGCCATATGCTTATAGCTGTTAAACATTTTCAGGTGAAGAAACTTGATGATGAATTGTTTTACCCCATTAATCAAAACCCAGACTTGAGATAAAAATGTTTTTTTTTCGTATTTATTTGTAATTATTATTTAACTCATGTTACATAAATAATAATTCTCATGTACGCTTTAGATATTTATATGCACATTTTATTCCGTTGCATTATCTAATTTGTTTAGGTCTCATTTGGCAACATCACTTTTTAGTCTAAAAGTCAAAAAGTCACTAAAAAAATTAAAAAGCCAACAACTTATACCAAAATGTCAAAGATTTCTTTTTCTCTCTACTTTTTGCAAATCTTTTCATAAAAAACTAAAAAATATTCCAAATATATTAGTTTTTTTTTACTATTATTTAAAAAGCATGTTCCCAAGCGAGGCTTAATCTAAAATTAATCATTGGTAATTTTAGAAATTAACTAGTTGCGAATCCCGCCTTAAACACCCGTGGTTGAGTCCTAACATATAGTCTCTTCATCGATTTGAAACTAAAACCTCTAACATTCTTATAATTACATGAATTATTGGGCCAATTATCTTGTCCCTCAATTAAGAAGTATAGGTCAAAGTTATATCCATCAATAATAATAAATAAAAATAAAAAATAAAAACAATAAAAAGGTTAATTAGAAGTTTCTTTCTCTCTCTCGGTCTCTTCTAGTATGTCAGCACCTTGCACATTTCTTCTTCGAGGCCCATTAGAGGCAGACCGTAATTACCATGTCTAAATATTACTAATTGTTGCGGACCTTATGGCGGCTCTGGCATTCCATTCAGTAACGAATTGGTCAGTATCATTAGTCATTTTTAGAGTTGTTTAGTGTAATTTATTTGAACTATTTATACGTTCTAAAATTTTTAATATAGTTTTTACTTATAATTTATTAAATATTAATAAGTTAAATAAGTTATATGTTTTAATTTTTTTTGATATAATTTTTACTTATAATTTATTAAATATCAATAAGTTAAATAATTTGATTTTTTAAAATAGGATAAGAGGTGCTTTTAATTTGTATTTTTAAATTATTAATTTTTAACTTATAATAAATTACAGCAAGTAACACATTTATTATCTGACTCTCCCTAATGTGAATACTCATTATTACTTCTTAATTTATAAATAGTAATATTATTTTTATTATTAAATAATAATAAATAATATATTTTTCTTCCTACTGATATAAAATAATAATAAACATAGAGATGTTATTTAGTGATTTTAGAGTAATACTCAACCATTTATCACTTGACACTTTGTAAGTTATTTATCAAAAATTTAACAAACAATAATAAATTTCACTAATTAATAAATAAATATCAAGTTGAGATATCATGTAAATTTACGCAAGATTACTAAATAATTTTTCATAAAAATAAGTGTATGGAACCATCCTTTACGGTATTTGTTTTTGAACTTAAAGTACAATTTGTTTTGTGCATTGAGAATTATGCGTTCTTGTTGCTCAATTTTTTTTTTTAGATAATTACACCATCATTCCCTCATCTACTAAATAATATTTTACCGCTTATCTATCGATATTTTGACTTTTTCAATTATAAAAATATAAAGCGCAAAAAGCATTAGCTCTGCCAAAAAGTAGAGATAATCAAAATCTGAGTGATGAATTAAAAAAAAAAAAAACAGAGAATAAACAAAAAAAACCATCTCTAAAACCCCAATACACCCCAAAAAAATGGAAACAAAAATCAGAATGATGAATAAAAAACAGAGAATAAAAACAAAAACTCCAATATCTCACCTTCCTTGATCTTGTCCATAGCAGCAGGATCAAGGATCAAGGATCAAGGAATGTTTTTTTGTGTAAATTAAAAAAACAGTTGGGGGATTGAAATTCATGGTCCCCCTACTGTCATAACTGTCATTTGGATGTTTAGTGGGATTGAAGCTATGGCTACAAGTTCAGTTTTTGGATCAAACATGGTTTTCTGTGGTGGAGGAGGAGGGACATGGTTTTCAGTGGGGCTAGGGGAAAAAAGGGGAAAGAGGAGGGAGGAGATGATGAATTTTGAGGAATATTAGTTCTTAGGATGCAACTCAAGGGATCTACAGACCAATCAAGCTCGTGTATCACCCAAGAGAGCCTTTCTTTGTAATCAAACAGGTATGTTTATGCTTTGGGAATAAATGAAATGTCAACGAAGCAAACAAGACGATTAAAGACACAATGAATAAACAAGCTAGCAATTGTTAGTTAAGACAAACACATATATATGAAATCTTCAACTTGATAAAAACTTTAAGTTGGAATCAAATTTAAGAACTTAAATTTGCAAACATAATTACTTCTTGAAAATTTGTCTATTCTTCAGAGCTAAATCAAGTTTTTGAGAACTAAATCAATATATATATATTTGCAGTATACTTCAATTGACATACACTTTTCTTCATCCTTTCCAATAGAAACAAAGTAAAAATAAAACTAACGAATGTCATAACTGTTCCTTAAGCTGTTGGTTTCAAATTCTCTAAATTATATTACTTTTCATTAATGTTTTAATCACAGAAAAATGGTTTACCTTGCTACCATGTTAGTTCAAAGAAAGGAAAACTTTACATTCAAAGAAAGGGATCTAAGTCTCATAGAATTACAGTCTTCCCCTGTTTTAGATTGTTAACTCAATGCCTCTACCTCTGTATTTTTGTTGAAAGGGTTATGGATTTTAGATTGAGATTTGGGATTTGGCTTGTTTGTTTTGACACAGATAAGGAGATCATCATACCATGATGTGATCTAGGTTTCGGAGATTCAGAAGTATTTTGACATCACATCAGTTAAGACCTACATTATCAACAGTGCGAAGGTTGTGTTCTTGAATGAGAGGCCACAGTCGAGGATTTCTTAAAACACTACAACAAAAAAGGATTTTTACGGCGTGCATTAAAAACCCTTCTACGACGTGCAACGTACGTCATATTATGACCAGTCATGGAAAGTCATTCACTTTCAACAGCATGCCATAGTATGCCGTAAAAAATATTTAACAGCGGATCTTCTGCATCGTGTTTGACTTTTCTACAACTACTTTTACACGCCGTTAAAAACCCTACATACCACGACGTTCATTACTAGTCGTTGAATATTAAATACAATGACCTATTGTGCTTGCCGTAGATAACTCAAATTTCACAGCATTTTTTGCATGTCGTAGAATACGTATGTTTCTTTTTTTTTTATATATAAAAAATTCAGCAAGTTTTATTTCACCTGTTCTTTGTAATCTAAGAAAATATTACAAACAAGCTTCACAAATATATATATATATATATATAAGCATCAATCAAATACCAAAATATTGTTTCAAACATCCATAAGTTCCAAATATCCAAAAACTATCTATATATTCCAAACCATCTAAAAACTACGTTTCTAAAAAAAAAAAAAAAAAAAAACTATCCCTAAGTTCATAATCGTCCAAAATGTTGTAAATCATCCAAAAAAAACTATCATTAAGTTCTAAAAATATACAAAATTTATCCAAATATCTTCTTGTGAGTGCACCATTATGGGCTGATTTAATTACATCAACACTTCGCTTGTGTCCTCCATATCTTTGTATTAGGAAATTCCTAGCAGCTTTGATTTCGTCTTCAAAAGCTTCCCTACTTATTCCAAGCCGTTTATAAGGGTCCCTTATATTGATTCTTGGAAATATAACTGCACTCGACAAAACAATTACAGAGAATTTCATAAATTCAAGAAAGCACAAATACTATAATGCCTAGAATGCTTCAATAGAAAACCAAATGCGGACCAATAATGTAGATAACAAGTAATAAAGTTTGACATACAAATAGTATACACCAATAGATAAAGAAATCAAGATTTATGCAAATGCAAATACCAAAACACATTATCCCTTCTTTTTCTTGGTAAATTATCCAAAAAGAGAGATAGCTAAGGATTGGATGCCGTATTTTAACTTTGGCTTGAGTTCTATCAGTTTCTGGCTTGGTTCTAAAATTAGCGGGACTCTAAACATATAAATACTTTACGAAAAAAAAAGAAAGAAAAGAGAGGCAACAACACTAAACACATAAATATCCAATATGCACTAGCACCACAACAATACTACTATGCATACTTAGTTGCATTTTTTATTGAAGAAGAAGAAGATCAAAGTTCTTAATGTACAACACAGTCCATGAAAATCGATAAATTTGCCAAATCAAAGACAAAAATCTGCCAAAACATAAAATGACTTAATCCAAAAATTCAAACCAACAAAAAAATGGGGAAAGGGATACCAGATTTTGTGATATGATAGTTTTATGCTCTTTCACAAGAGAGAGGAAAGAAATAATTCAACAAATGTAAAAAGGGGAGAGAAACATAGGGAAATTGGTTTAGTAGAGGTGGTAATCGTAAGTTAATAAATCTAAATTTCAAATATGAAGGTCTCTCCAGACTTGACTTGACGTGGTGAGCAATATAAGGAACTGGTATGTCAGCAAGACATAAGAACACTTCACCATTGTCCACCAAAGCAATTGGTTCAAGGCATGAATTCTCGTCAGGCCAAGGAAACAAGCTGTTCAACATGCCATTCATTGTATATTTTTGAGCATCAAAGTCAATTTTGTAGAGCTTCCTCCACTCACAACTCATGGGATCAGACAAGAGAAACATGGGACAATATATAAAAACATGGGATAAAAACAGATTATGAAAACACGGGATCAAAGTCAATTATGAACATCTGATGGTCTATATTATGAAAACTTTATAAGTTGACAAAGATTTTGTTAATACTTAGTAGAAAGCCTGCAAATATACCATCATTTTTCCAAAATCTGAGCTTCAATAGTTCACATTATTAGAACAACATAAATTAATATGGTCAAATATATAAATAGAGACTAAACTTGTGAAAGTTAGCATACCATGTTCAAATGAACAAGAGACATACAAAGAAGAGATAAACTTAAAATTCCCATTTTCTTGAAGATAAGTAACTAACAAGAAAAACAGACTTACAGGAGTAAAAAGAGCCTCTGGAACTTGGAACCGTTTTGTGCCAACTTTGATGACCCTTCCATCTTGTAACTGATTAAAGTAATTTTCTAAATAAATTAACAAAATGCACAAACAATTTTAACAAGAAAAAGAATCACCTATGTCAAACATATGGTTTTAATGTCTTAGAAACTAGAAGATGAAGATACCAATGAGAAAAGGTCAAATGATATATGTATAACTGCTAAAGTATTCAATAGGAAAACATGAAACTTTTTTTAATTTTTTTTATATAAGTTACTAATAATGCTTAGAACCTCTCTATTTATAAACAGGAAAAGCACATGAAACTATTATAATACAAATTTTTATTTTTTTATTTTTTATATAAGTTACTAATAATGCTTGGAACCTCTCAACTTGGGCCTTCTGTGTCACAATCATAGTCACACATAAAAGAATTGAAAATTGAATATTGGGTACAAGATATTATACAACTACACATACTAACAGAATTAACTTACAGTATAATTCTTAACAAGGATGGTAGTCTCAAGTCTCAATCGATATCCCCTCCTGTAATCATAACCGCAAGGAAACAGATCTAATAAATTGCAAAATTGTAATGAAAAAAATTCCATAAAAGCATACCAAACAATGATGTTATTTGCTCATCTTATGTAGCAAAGCTTCTCTTTGATATCCCCACTAGTCTCAAAGTCAACAGTCCTATTCATCTCATACCTTTAGGAAAGAAGTTTGTATTCCAATCAAAACAAAAGTAATTACTGTGAAGAATAGGTATGACAAAAATGATACTAATCTTACTAACTCTGTTTAGAAAGATGTTGGCCTATACCCTCTACGCAGAAGCAAATCAACAAGATAAGATGTTATGTGTCATCTAGCTACATTCATTCGTTTTGTAAGATGTGGGAATGAGTAGCCATCAACAACTGGAACCTGGAGAGAAGACCCAGAGAGAAGATTCAAGTAATTATATTCCCCAAGTAGTGATTCCCTATCGAGGGTCATAGAAATAATAGCTCCTCCCACTTACTAATAATTCTATACCAGATTTGTCAACAATGGCACTAATAGTCCAATTCTAAATTTATCAAATGGTGAAATGCGTTACCAACCAAGTTAATACAGCCAACAAATCTGAGGATGCAAGCACACAAATTTTTGAATTGCTTTGTGATTACCAACTTCATGGATCACACAAAATGAACATCTTTACATAAAGATTATATGTAGACACTTAATTAAAATATATATATATTTATATATACCTATTAAGATTAAGAAGATCATGCAATTAGTCTTACTTAAAGATGAGTAAACTTCAGAGTTGTCAAGAAGCATCCAAGTTAGATGCCACACAATACAAATCATAGGAAAACACTCAAGTCACATTTGAACATCCCATGGAGTGGAATCATTTCATTTTTGTTTTCTATAACTTGGAAGCAACAAATTTACTTTTAGAAAGAAGTCATTGCACAAATCAAAAGGCAAATCCTTAAAAACACAACGATTTAGGAAAGTCCACAAGGACCTATATCACAGAATACCGTACCAAAATTAAATTTTAAGTTATATTTGACAATAAACAATTATGTGAGGATTTCATTTGCAAGAATGCTGGCAACCAAAGGTTTAATTGAATAAAAACAGGGGTAACTACGAATAAAAAACAAGAAAGACCTCTTGATACTTCAAAATCATATTACACAAATGGTTTGAATGATTTACCACATGAGTGACACCATCACCAGAGTCAATGACTAGTCCAGTCAGTAAGCATGCACGAGTTCAAAAATAAATTTTTAGATGAAATCACTCACATGTTGGACATTGTGTATTTGCAGAGGCTATTGATTAATAGCAATAACAATAGTAGAAAGAAATGTCTTCAAAAGAGAATTTGAACAGTTTAATAAGTAGATTTGTGTCCGTCATTTCCTTGGACTTTAGAAGGAAGTAAAGGAACAGATTCTGTCTTAATTGGGAAGACATAAAGCAAACAAATAAAAACCAGACCCATGAAAAGAAATGTAAAACAGATCAACCCATTTTGGAAATATTTGAAGTTTGGGTTCCATAATTCCATTAACATTAAGAAAAATGCAATATAATTTCTAGAGCACTCATTGTAAAAAGCAAAATATGCATCACAACACAAGCAATTGCCGAAATATATACCAGTTTGCATTCTATATAGCAAATTACGAGAGATATAGCAGCATACTACTTTGTCACAAACAACCCAAAAGTTATTTTCTCTTGTTTAATCAAACAACCAATAGTTATGATACCACACTTAACTAACATTAAAAAATTTCCCATGACAAAGACCTGTAATTCCACATAATTATATAGTTGTTGTTATGTCCTTCAAGCATCACAAATCACACAACACCAAAACCCAATCCCAACATAGTAATTCCTAAAACAACAGAGAACCCTATTAATAAAAAAAGAAACTATTTGATGGGCCAACTAAAAAAAGAACAGAGAAGCACAGACAGAGCTACAGAGAGAGAGAGAGAGAGAGACAGCTAACAATGGCGAATTGGAGGCAGACAAAAATCTTTGGAATGGAATTGAAAATAAGATTTAGGTTTTCCAGAGGATTGAGAAGTGTTTTAGCGGGCGAATGATGAGTGAACATCCCTAACGGGTGTAAATTGCATTTACATCCCCAACGAGGTTTGTAATAAAAAATAATAACTTGTTTAACAAAAAAAAAATTACCGATGCAAAATCTAAAGATGACAGAGAGCTAGGGCACACTGTGAAGAAGAGAGAGCTTCTTTTTTGCCTTTCATTGTTGCTGTTGTTTCCAAGGATGAGTAGGGTAGACTCTTCTAGATCACAAATCGATGTCCTGAAGCAACAAGTCAAGAAGAGAGAGAGAGAGAGAGAGAGAGAGAGAGAGAGAACGATAACAGAGGTGATGGTGGCAGCGCGGTAATCACAATGGTAGTGGCGGTGACGTCAAAGGTAGAGAGGACACAGAAAGAGAGAGAGAGAGAGAGAGGAGATGGAAGAGAGAGAGGAAGTGTAACCGTGTATGGTTTGGACCGTATATGATGTGGAAGATTGGATCGAGTATGGAGGAGTTTTTGGAGGTTTGATCTGTTGATGATGATGAGTAAGAGGTTAGGGTTTCTGGTTTTGGGGGAGAAGAGTTGGGGTTTTTGATTTTTTGTTTTTTTTTTAATTGTTTTGGTGTTTGGCGCTCAAATTTTTTATTTTGGCACCTATTTTTATTTTGGTCATCCTATTCATGACAGAAATTGCGTGTCGTGAAAAGTAAAATATTTTTAACGGCTAGCATATGTGCGTCGTGGAAAGTGTACTTTTTAAAAGTTGACTTTTTGTGCGCCGTAAAAAGTACTATATTTTTAACGGCTGGCTTTTTGTACGCCGTAAAATGTTTAATATTTTAACGGCCGGTGTACGCGTGTCATGTATAGTTGATATATTAACTTGGCATGCAATATGCACGTCGTAAAAAGTTTTATTATTTACGGCCAGCATTGCAAGCTGTAAAAAAATCATCATTATTAGCATTCACGGCCTACGCAATAGACATGTAACGCCCTAAAAAAAATACATAAAACCCATCACTTTAGACATGCATTGATATAAAAGAAACCAACCATTTCTATTCATCAGAGTAATTCTTACAACTGTATTACATGTTAACAACAAAAGCAAATGCCCTATGGGCTTACAGCTTTCCAAGTCAACACCTGGTTACACAAAAGAAGAGTACTAACTCTATACAAAATAGCCCTTGGCTTAATATACATGTAATACAAACAAAATAAACAAAAAGAGTCTTCAACTCTCATCATCATCCAAGCTATGTCCTTGGAGGTGGCATACTACCTGTACCTGAAAATAATGTCCCATAAAGGGTGAGCCAACGCCCAGTCATATAAGAGTGATATGTTGGGTAGTATGGATCCATGCAAAGAAGAAATAGTAAAAACTATGGATATTTTAAGTATTTTACAGTTCTGCCACATTACTTCAATACTAATATATTTATAATTGAAGTGTTACATTTTTTCTGTCTTATATTATAACTCATAACCTTATTTTGGGAGGAACAACATAATATTTATATTCTATTTATATTTGTATTTTGTGTTTTACTTATCCTAATTACATGTATCAATTCTTAATATGTGGCCTATGTATTTGCATCATGGCTTGTTTTGACCTGTCATTATCAATTAACCTCTTATACAAATTTTAATTATCAAATTTTAAGTAAAATGCTTTTTTTTTTTTTAAAGAATATCGCTCGTCTACATAAATGGAGTGTTAATGGTGTGCTTATGATGCCATTTAACCAGTGTGCAATAGTAGACTATTCAACATTCGTACTACATAGTTCATAAGATTTCAAGTCATGGGTCATTGATTAAGAAAAATCAACCTAAGGAATAAATTTAAGGAAATTTAAAGATGAAAAGAAAGGATCAATAGTACCATTTAGAGGACTTCACAAATGGATATATAATCAACATTTTAACTTGGTAAGCGATAAACGAATCTAACTACACCCTTTAATCCCATACACAACCAATTCCAATATTCTCAATTAAATTCGTCTTTTCTTCAAATTAATTATACCAATTAATTTAAACAACAAATTAGGGGTTTTTCCCCCAACTCTCAATATCAACTCAAAGGTTCAAATATGACCAACCAACAACTATATCATCATTTTGAAACCCCAAATACATATTATGAGCCCAAAAATCACAAACCCTCTTTAACACATTTTGAAACCCTAAGTCCCAAAATCAACCATTTAAACAATAAGCTCAAAGTCTATGTTAAAACCCATAAGAGTGAGTAGGAATCCCTACCTCAAATTCGGAGCTCAAGGGAAGAAGGTGAAGAAACTCAACGTGCTCCAAAACTCAATATTCTCGGATCAATGGATAGCCCTCGACGATCAACCCAACTTTTACAAAGGCCGGAGGAAAAGGAAACACTCTAACTAGATCAAACCCTATAGAGAAGGGAGTTTCTAGAGAGAGGAACTCTCAAAATGGCTTTTTAGAAAGTAAGAGAGAGAGAGAGAGAAAGTAAAAAGTGAATTTAAAACGCCCAGCTGCCAACTGATATACGACATTCCCGCTCGAGCGTAGAACACAACGCTCGAGCATCAAGAACAAAAAACTAGGTACGCTCGAGCGCAAGAAGGCCCGCTCGAGCGCCAAGACACAAGAATAAAGTACATCCGCTCGAGCGCGAAAACCAGTCCGCTCGAGCGTAGATTTCCCCCTCCCAGAACTTACACAAAAAAGTACTACCCGTTCGAGCGCCAGAGTACCGGCTCGAGCGCCACCGCTAGAGCGTAAAGAAACCCGCTCGAGTGTGAAAAACATGCTTGCAGAAGTTCTGCAGAGCACCAAAATACTGGGAGCGTGCAATCTCCGCTCGAGCGCAAGAAGACCCGCTCGAGCGGAACTCCTAAAACCTGGGCAACAAAGAATTGAAACCAAAGCCCAACCAACCTGTAACAACTCTGCCCAATACATCCTAAAACCCGAACAAATGGTATTAAAGGATGACAACAAGATAGATGCAACTACCAACTCCACGGAACTGAGTCCGGAATACAACAGAACTGTAAAGGGACAACCGGGATCGTTATAAGACACGTCATGGTTGAAAAATTATTTACGACAACCAAAAAAAGCAAATCGTAAAAGTAAGAAACCACGACTTGCATTTACTGTATGTCGTTAATTTGGAGCCGTAAAAACTCAGTTTTGTTGTAGTGAAAGCTTTTAAAATGTATTATCAGCTTTGTGCTTATGTACGATTTCTTTAAAGCTTTTAAAATGTTTTTCAAAATCACCAATATGTTCACGTCTCTAAGCTTTTAAAATGTATGTTCACATTTCATTTACATTTTATTTAACAGGGCAGCCTAACAATGTGTTGGCATGCTTTCCAGCCAAAAAGTTGTATTTTTTTTTTTATCGGCAACAAAAAATAATATTATTAATAAGGAAAATAAAAAGGATAACAAAAAAGTGAAAGACAAGAAGCCCACCAAAAAAAAAAAAAAAACAAAACAAAACAAAAGAGGTGAAAAGAGCAAAATTTCTCAAGGTTGGAAGCTACTAAACACACTACCCTCCAATGCCTAGAAATAAAAAATAATGGAATCCCTTTAAAGTGATTAGAAACTGAATCCCAAAAAGATGACAAATAACACACTATGTCCCGTGAAGAATAGCATTGTGCTCCTACCAAATAACCCATAGAAGTGAAAAGAAGACACCGTTCCAAATAACCCATAAAACCTAAAATGTTGTACTTACCTGCATGTAAGATACGTTTCCGATGGTAGGTATTGATGGAAATTTATAACAATCCATTCACCAGCTTCTTTGCTTATCTTAAATCCGCCAACTGGCTTTCCCGCTTGCAAAGCACCTTTCGTAGCAGCATCTATGATACCTGGACCAGCCCCTGTCTATGAAGTACATTTAAGAGAATTGCAATCTGCAGAAAATAATAAGTAGGCTTGTACATCTACATGAATAAGTATATACATGGAAGGTTAAATATGGAGTGACTAGCCTCTTCCCCCAATTCTAGTGCTTGCAAGTAATGTGGATGAGTTGGTCCCATCCTTGAAGAACCCAAATACACAACTCCCCTTCCTAGCCTGTGAATGAGTTCATAGCACCACTCTATCTCATTTTTGACCTTTTGTCAATGAGTTCATATTAGTGAACGAGTTTTTGACAGATTTCATTAAATTGTAGAGTATGTTCCATGTTTACAAAAAAATGGTTAATATAACCAGATGAAGTAGCACCACGATGTCATGTATGAGCAAATTCAAGCAATTGTTTTTTAGGAATTCAAGAAGTTATGATAATATGAAAGTGCTTCTGTACTAAAGAATGATATAGAAAAACAACTGAACTATTATATATGCTTGAGATGGTAAGTCGTAATATGGCAATAAGAATGCAGATAACATATGACTCTCTTATTCATCCACTCGTCCATCAATTCTGTCTCATACCACACACAGTGCCATGCAGAGAGAGACAGAGTGCACAAAGATGGTTGCACAGTGGTGAGGTGGTGGTTGGAGTGAAACACAAATGAGAAGAAGATAAAAAATGAAAAAATATATATATTGGAAAAGAGCATTAAGCAATTTTGCCTCCTAAATTACTTCCAGCACAACACCACATGCCTAAATAATGCATGAGCTTCACACACTCTTATTTTTGAATTAAGGGTTTCTATTAATTTTGTACTACAAGGACCACAGGGATTTATTTGTTTTCGAAGAAAATCACATAATTTCTCATTTTTATAAAATATATATTAGGGAAAGTTTGAAAACTTTCACTTTTTCTGTTCACTGTTTTCAATTTTGTATATTAAAATAATCCTAATCATTTTCAGTCTCTTCTCTTTGCATTTTGACTACCAACTAAACTAGATTAGTGGATCAATGAACATTAGCAAATACATCACAAACCAAGTCAACTAGCAGCATCAAGAACATGAAAATATTAACAGTTTACCTTAAAATAAGTTGTTGTTTTGCTATTCAAATAGCAAGCTTCCTCAAATTCGCTATTAAAATAAGTTGAAAATAGTAAAACAAATCCATTAGGATAAACTATTTGAAGGTAAACTCATAACTTAATACTCTTAAAGATATGGAG